GATAGACCCATGGAAAGGGTGGACCCGCACGCTGTCCTTCTGTTCCCGCTCTCTTTCAGGGGGCATGGAGCTGCCGTCTCTCAGATGAGATCGAAACCCTAGGTTCCAACCACTTAGGGCTATTAAAGGCCCCGTGGTGTTTTTCACAAGAATGAGAAGTGTTGACCCCTGGGTCCTGGCCAAAATCCAACATGAACACCTGACCCTGCCTCGCCCACTGCACCTTGTGAAGTTTGTCAGATATTCTCCGTTGCCTGTCCTAAATTGCTGCCTGGCATTTCTCTGCAGCTGCTACACACCTTCCACCTCGTGGCTAGACACGGCTGGTTGATCCCCGGGTGGTTCTCAATTTGCAGAGCGCTGCAACGTGAACATCTCCTTTGGTGCCGTGAATGGATGCTGGCCACCTAGGCTGGGGTGCAGCATTCGCTTCTTCAGGCTCCCCGCTTTGCTGGCTTTTCTAGTGAAGTGTTTTGTGCCTCGAAGAGCCAGATTCTCCCCAGGACCCAAAACATTCACCGGAGTGAGTTCCCAGCCCTGCTTTCCTCCTGGCTGGGGTGAATGCCTCGGGAGGTGGCAGGGCCACTCACAACAAACCAGCAGGCCGACCTTCCAGTAAGAATTGCCTTGGGAGCCATGAGCAGCCTGGAGTGCTTCCTTCCTGCAGTGCCAGTGAGTGTGACCTGCGCCTCGTCCCTCTCGGGGTGCAGAGAATAGCTGTCCTGTGCCCTGACAGTGGTGCCCTCTCACTCGTGTGCCCTAGCCACTGCTGGCAGGCCTGTGACGCCACAAGGAGAAAGCCACAATGGGCCATTTCTTGTGGAAGAGAATGAAGCCATTCTCCTTGGGTTCCAGGGCGGGGGCTGGGTTTCACGTGCTGTGTGTCAGCGTTCAGGAGCTGAACGGCGCTGCTCAGGAGGCTAATCAGCCCCCACCGGGCTCCAGAGGCAGCTGTGCCTGGGCTGCCCGCTCCAAAGGCTGGTCTCTACTGGGTGCAGGCGCTCGAGCAAAGAGGAAATGGCTTTTAATGATTTATGGGAACTGTCGTGATATTTCTCACTGTGTTTTCCAAAGCCTTCGCAGCACCCTGAGGAGGCAGGTGAACGGTATCCCTGTTTTCCAGGTGGGGAAACCGAGGCACAGAGCAGCTCAGTGACTTGCCTAAGCCCATAGATAGGGTTGGTGTCAAGAGCAGGAGGACAGTGTTGGGGGTCCCCAGGCCTGTGCTCAGACTACACCCCTCCTTAGATGGTTAGCGATTGCCTTAGATAGCGGGGTGGCTGGTTCAACGGGCATTATCCTTGGTTCTGCAGGCTTTGGGGACCCATTTCTCTGGGTAAAAGCGGGGTGCAGTCGTGTTTCACTTTCATTCCACTGAGCCTGTGTGACCTGCACCAGAGAGGAAACCACTCCAGTGGGCCGCAGAACTCCAGCCATGGTCCTGCGGCGTGTCCCCCACAATCCGACGAGAGAGGATCCTGGGGGCCAGTGGCGCTGTAGCTTGGGATTGAGGGGCGGCAGTGGGGAAGCCCAGGCCTGAAAGCAATAAGGGAGCTGTGATAGCGCTGTGTGAGGGAGCCAAAGCCCTGGCTTCCAATGGAAACCTGTTATTCTGGTTGCTGATCAGTATCAAGCTGCCAGCTCTCAGGACCTGAGGGCACTCCGGGCCCTTTCATTCCTCTGGAGACCTCTTCGGGCACGGCTGGGACTTGTAGTGTGATTCTCCTTCATTAGCAAGCCTCGATTCATAACCCATCACTGAACACTGGTCACGGGGCCGGGGGGACCTGTGGGCTGCCTCTTCCTACGTTTCTTCCATGGCGGATTTGAAGGGATACGGTCAAATTCCATCCCTCTAGCACTGGAGACGATTACAAGAGCGAGAGGGATTTTTTAATGTCCTTTTCCCCATGGAAGTTTCTGAGGCCTCAGTGGAGTCGTCTTGATCAGTTTCACGTTTCTATTTGTTTTCACTTTCTGGTTCCCGGGGTTGCTGGGCTGTCTGGGCTTGGTACTGTGCCGAGTACGGAGTAAGGTGTGTTCCTGGAGCCAGGAGCCTGCACCGGGGGGGGGGGGGGGGAATGCTGGAGAAGACAGTTTATACCCACCCGCCCCACCCCTGTTTTCCGTTTGGAGGGGGAGCAATGAGGAGGTTCCCAAGCCATAATCTTGCGTCCAGCTTCACCACAGCACTGGCCCTTTAAATGCAGCCACATTACATCACTCACCAGAACCTGGGGCTCTTTCAGCCAGAGCCAGCAATGCATTGTTCCTGCTGCAGCACCGGTTGCTCCTAGCAACACGGGCATCGCTCTGTCATTGCTATGGCAACAGCAGCTGGCTGATGGCAAAGAGGGTGCCCCCCACCCCCGCATGCGCCCCACCCCAGAATGAAGAGGAGAAGTAATTGGTGCCCGCCTGGCTCCTGCTTAATCATTCATGGGATGGCTGGCTGCGTGCAGGACCTGCTGATGCACATCTGCGTGGGTGGCCTCAGCATACCCGTCTGGGCTGTGGGCAGACAGAGCCGGGCCTGCCCCTGCGACCAGCTCCCCAGCGTGTATTATTCAGAGGCAGTAATTTTACCCCTCCTTCTCCTGGCCTCCTCCAGCCCTTCTGTGTAGGCTCTCCCGGTTCTGCTGTCTCCCACCCTCATTCCGCTCCACGGCTCACCCCAAAGCCAGCTGCTGCCTGCGATTTCACAGAGGGCTCTGTCTAGAGGGGAGAGACCGCATGGGCAGGTCTCGGTCTGGGGTGCTCAGTTCAGGGTCAGCGTTAGCCATGCAAAAAGCGTGGGAGTTTTCACTGGAAAGAGAAGGGAGAGGAACAGCTCCTGCTCGGGAGGGTGGACTTCCTCCTTGGCTGTAAGTGGCGATTCCACCCTACCTTCCTAATGTGGCGACAGCCTCTTTCTGCTGAGAACTCAGAGCCGGTTCTCTCTCTGCCTACTTACCCGGCTCCATAGTGTCTGAATGCCTCAGCCTTTGATGGGTTTGTTTGTAGTCCCCCTGGGAGGTAGAACAGTGCCACTGTCCGCTTGTACCGATTGGGGAAACTGAGGCAAAGAGCGGCAAGGTCACGCCGGGAGGCAGCCCGGATCTCCTGAACCACTACCATGATGATCAGTGGGCCAGCCCAAGGAAGGAACTAGGCTCTCAGGTTCTCTGCCAAGGAGTCCCTGCTCCATCAGCACATGGGGCCTGCTCAGGAGCTGAGCTGTCTCCAAATGGGGCTTATTTGAGCTCCTTTCTGGGCTGCATTTTATAGAGCCACAAATAATTCCTGGCTTCCAGGGGCTGGGACTCCCTGCCTGTGCAGTCTTCACCCTCCCTTAGTGCAGCCTCTCCCCCTGCTGCAGTGTGGTGCTTTGAGTGGGGCGGCCCTGCCCCGCATGCAGGATCTGGGGGTGGGCAGGGGCTGATGGAGGCAGACGGGATGGCTGGGGGCGGGGGCGGGGTCTTGCCAGTTTCAGGGCATTCTCTGGACTTGGGTGTTGCAAAGCTGGTGTTTCCACCCCGGGAGCAACTGGTGCTGGGAACTCGTCAGCCGTCCGTACTAGGCAGGATGGGGCCGCTTTGGAAGGGAGCCTTTTGCATGAATCTCTCTCCCCCGTCATGCACAGAGAGGCGCTATGGCTGGGCCAGCCACCTCCACTGAACAGCTGGGGTCTTAATATAGCCTTCAAGGAGCCAATGGGAGCCAAGCAGCCGGCTCTGGAAATTGCTGATCCGGGGAAGGGTATGGTTACTTTGCAGGCATTTTATTTTCCTCTGGAGCTCATCCGGTGTTTCTCCGCGGCACGCTCAGCACAGCATGGGGCCTTGGCGCATTATCCATGTGTCGGGGAGTAACCGAGCCAGACGCCCACTAGCTGTCCGCTCCCCCAGCACTCACTGCCCCAGACACGCCCTCGCTCCCACTTCTCGCAGGAGTGACGGTGTCTGCGACTCCGGGATTTTCCATTTGGCCCAAGCCCCTATCAGATGCGAAGGTTCTTTTAGAGGGAGGGGGCACACGCTGGCAGAAGCCCATTCACAGGGCACCCCTGGGGTTTCTTAGTGCAGACAGGGCTCTGGATTTATTCATTTTGAATTCCCTCCCTGGTTGCAGAAGGCTGGCTGGGGCCAGCCCTGCTCCCCGGGGAGTGACCCTGATGGGCATGTGGAGACAGCGTGCCTTTGGCGTTTGCTTTCTCCACTGCTCAGTGTTGACAACAGCTGCCGCTGTGGCCGACTCTGAGCCGGATGGAAACCTGAGCTTTCATTTCTCCTGCTCTGGCTCCCCTCCCACCCTCCTGGAGCAGTGGAAGGAGCCTGAAAAGTTTGGGCGGGTTAAGTCAGGTTCTGGTCCCTGTTTTCGCTCCTTTCTGATGAAGAGCAGGGGCGGGAAGATTCTTTACAAATGTTCTTCCCGCCTGTTTGTTGCCAGAGAAGTTCCAGGACGGTGAAGTCTGGTTTGGTGGGGAGACCTCCTGGCGGTGTCGCACTTTCACTGTGGCTGCAGGGGGCATGAATATTGCACAAAGACGTCCTTTCGCCCACATGTTCATTAGGCATCTGAGTGATCGACACCACGGTGTTTGGGGCAGTCTAGCTGAAATTCCCGTCTCTGGTCCACGGTTGTGTCCCTCTCCTGTGAGCTGTTAGTGTCGCTAGCTCCCACTGTGCACGGGGGGAACCCCAAACTCCTGAGCTCAGCGGCACAGGGCATCTCAGTGCAAGTCTGGATCTGTCCTGTGGCCGGAGTTCAGGGGGGATGAGGCCCAGCCAAGGAGCTGCCCTCAAGGACTTTTTGCCAAGTTATAAACATGTGGCACCCCAGCCCCTGGACCTGAGTAGCCCCCTTGTGCCCTGGGCGTGGGGACCTCTGGAGCCAGGTCTGAGTGTGCAGAGGGCTGCGGGGAGCTGCAGTGACTCTCCCAGAGCTGAGGCACCATCCGGGGGTGCTGCTGTCCCCCTCCCTGAGCCCTGCCCCGTGTCCCCTCTCTCCCTGCAGCCGTTCGGGGAGTGGTGTAACCTGCAGCCAAAGGATGCTGCCAAGATGCCCGAGAGCGCCTGGAAGCTGCTGTTCTACACGCTGTCCTGGTCATACAGCGCCTACCTGCTCTTCTTCACCGAGTACCCCTTCTTCCACGACCCGCCCTCCGTCTTTTACGGTACATGAGCGCCACAGAGAAGAAGCTCAGATGCTAATGCCCAGAAGGCAGGGATGGTGTCCCTAGCCTCTGTTTGCCAGAAGCTGGGAATGGGCGACAGAGGATGGATCACATGATGATTCCCTGTCCTGTTCATTCCCTCTGGGGCACCTGGCACTGGCCACTGTCGCTAGACAGGATACTGGGCCAGATGGACCTTTGCTCTGACCCAGCCTGGCTGTTCTTAAGGGATCAGCGTCTTCAAGGATGAAACAAAGGGGCCGATGTCAAGGGGGAATCCATAGATTAAGCTCCCCAAATCACCTTCCTTGTGATGCCAATGACGTGAGCTCAGGAACTGTCCGTGAGTGGATGTTGGCCTAGCCAGTGGGGCCCTGCTCCCCTGGGCAGTGCTCCGGCGCTCTGAGCACGCTGGGCTGGCTGCGGGGGGAGGTGTCCGTGCAGGGCTCATGCAGGGATCTCCGTGCTGCTCCTAGGTTGGGAGAAGGGTATGGATGTACCCACCGACATTGGCATCGCCTACTTGCTGCAGGGCAGCTTCTACGGGCACTCCATCTATGCCACCGTGTACATGGACGCCTGGCGCAGGGACTCCGTGGTCATGCTCATCCACCACGTGGTGACGCTGACGCTCATCGTCTTCTCCTACGCGTTCAGGTGAGCCCCCCCCCCGCCCCATCCGGCCGCATCCCACTGCCCTCTGCACAGGGCACACTCGGATCTGTGGGGCCCCAGCGCTGGGCAGCCACTGGGAAATGCAGCAGCCGTTCCACACCCAGCTATGGCTCGCACTGCCTCTGGGCTCCATCAGAGGGACTCGGAGCTTGTCCATTGCTCTGAGCTGCTCCACAGTGCTCCAATCGGCCCCATGATGCGACCCCCGCCCCCGGCTCTAATATGGTCCACCCAGTGCCAGGCCATCCAGCACTGTCGGTCTGCATCGCATGGAGCCTGCAGCTCCAATACAGTCTGGCCTGGGCATAGAGCCCACCGCCTCCCCGTGACCTGATGTGCACAGCCCTGCTCACCAACGCACACACGGTCCCTTCTCCCCGCAGGTTCCATAACGTGGGGATTCTGGTGCTCTTCCTGCATGACATCAGCGACGTGCAGCTGGAGTTCACCAAGCTCAACGTCTACTTCAAGCACCGGGGCGGGATCTATCACCGGCTCAACGACGTCATCTCCGACCTCGGCTGCCTCACCTTCAGCATCAGCTGGTGAGTTCCTGCCCCTGCCCCGCTCCACCCCCCCCCGTCCCCCAACCCCCACCGGTGCCGCCAGGCCTTATCGCCTGGGAGGGACACAGCCAGGCTGTGAGCTGGGTGGACTGGGGGGTCCCTCCTGCTGCCTGCTGGGCTGGGAATCCTGCCTTTGTGACATCACGGTGGGTGGCCACGGAGATGCTGATGACATCAGGCACACAGAGCATGGCCACACCAGGGCAGGCGGAAGGAGGAGCTGGGTCCAGGCCCCTTCACAATCCAGCTCTGGCAGCGAGAGCGGCTCGGATTCAAGGAGGGGAAGAGAGGGAGACAGGGTCATGCTCCCGTCACAGCCCCGCTTGGGCCACACCCAGACAGCATGAAAACCTTGGTTGGAAGCCAGGGACCAGCTCCTGGCTCAAGTACTTCACCCCAGCACCTCCTCCCCAGCCTCTTTTCTCCCTCTGTCCCCTGGCACAGCCATGCGGGGGCAGAAGGGGAGGGACACACTGTCTGGCCATAGACCCAAGGAGTTGGGGGGCAGATGTGCCATTGATGGGCTTGTAGCAGCAGTTTGCAGATCTTCCCCTCTGTCCCAGGACAGTCTCTCTACTGTCATCCCGGGACGCTTGGGCTCAGCGTAATCCCCCTTAGCAGCCACTCTCAGGGTCTGAGCCGTGCCTGCCGGCGGCAGGTGAGAAGCCCCTCAGTGACTTCATGAAATCCAGCTCTCCTGCCGCAAGACAGCCAGACATGGGGGAAGGGGCTTGACCATGTTGCCTGGAAATGCTGGGCAGGGGGGGAGGGGGTGATGCTCATCCCCGGGCTCCTCTCTGGGGGGCTCCCCTCAATGCCACTCAACCCCCCCCCCCCGTGTCTGTCCTGGCAGGTTCTGGTTCCGCCTCTACTGGTTCCCCCTCAAAGTGCTCTACGCCACCTGCCACACCAGCCTGCAGTCTGTGCCCAACATCCCCTTTTACTTCTTCTTCAACGCCCTGCTCTTCGCCCTCGCCCTCATGAACGTCTACTGGTTCCTGGTGAGTAGGGGCGGCTCAGGGCCCCCGCACAGACCCTGCCGCTGGGGCGCTGGAGAGAGACAGAGCTGGAGCCCCTGGGGCACGGATGGTTGTGTGGGGGAGGGGGTGGGATGGACGCACAAGGTGATGCTACCCCGCCCCCCAGCCTCCTCCCTGCTGGAATTCCCACCATCTGGCCTCCTGATGGACCGGAGAGTGAGCGCTAACAGCAGGAAGGAGCCCAGCCCTGGGGCATTTCCTGGGGCTCCAGGACGGATGGGAACTGTGGAGAGAAAGGCTGAGGGCCGGGTGGGCAGCCATCTCCCAAAGGGATCACATCAGCCAGGCGTCCCCAGAGCCCGCAAGGCAGAGCTGGGACTGGCGGGGGGAGAATCAGGACTCAGGCCTGGGCAGGAGGCTGTGCTTCTCTGTCCAGTCCTTACTGCGTGGCTGCTGCCTGCTTCCCTCCAGCCTCCCTATGGGCCGAGGGTCCCACAGCTCCTCCCAGCCGCTGGGGAATTGGGGAGGGAGCTGGGGATCGTCCCGGGGCGGAATCCCCCTGCGCGGCTGCAGCTCGTGCGGTCAGGGGGCCTCTAGGCTGGATCCCCCCCTCGCCGGGACTGGCAGAGGTCAGGACTACGGCTATGATTTTGTCATGGATCTTTTTAGTAAAAGTCATGGACAGGTCCCAGGCAATGAATAAAAATCCACGGAAGCCGTGACCTGACAAAATGGGGAGGAAGGAGGGTCCCGATCCGGCAGGGACCCGCAGCCCCCACCCCGGCCAATGGCTGGGAGGGCCCCTTGACCACTGGGCTGGGATCTGCGGGGTCCCCCACCGGTGGGGGCTGCGGTGCTTTAGGAGATTCCCCTGCACGCAGGGGCTGGGCTGCTCCGGGGCTCCAATGTCACAGAGGTCTCTGGAAGTTACGGATTCTGTGACTTCCGCAAGCGCTGTGACCTACCGGTAGCCTTAGCCATGACCCCGGCCAGGAGGGTCCCAGGCCTTGTGGGGGCGGGGCAGTGCAGTGGGGCAGGGGTGTGGAGTCCAGAGGCATAGAAGTCTCCTGCCCTTGTGCTGGGCAAATAGATTTGGGGGTGGGGCTGCAGCAGGGGCATGATGGGTAATTTGTACTCCGAGAGCTCTTCAACCCAGCTCGGTTTGTTTGGAGCTGTGCCCCCCCCCCCGCACCTATTATCTTTTGTGTCTATGGGGGGGGGGGGTCCATTGATCCTGGCCCTGGTCTCAGCGGTGGATCTCCAGCATGGGGGTGGGAGGGGTCTTTCTGGGCTCCCTTCATCTGCTCCTGGAATCTCCTTGCGTGCCCCCCAGGATCCTGCTCCCCCTTGGGGCGAGGCAGCACTGCTGCTCCCCCACAGCGCCAGGCACCCAGCTCCCAGCCAGGTGTGCTCATTCCAGGAGCCCACCGGCCCAGGGAGTCGCTGCTCTCAGACCAGCCTCCCCGGGACGAGCGGGGCGGCCCCCAGGGCAGAAGTTTGCCCTAGTTAGTGGGTGAGTGTGTTTGGGCTGGGGGGGGGGGGCTGAGCGGGGACTGTGGCCAGTGGGGTCATTGCCTGGTTCCTGTCCCCCCCAGTACATCGTCCTGTTTGTGGCCAAGGTCCTGACTGGGCAGATGCAGGAGGTGAACGACGTGCGTGAATACGATGTGGAGGAGAGCAAGAAAACCACAGGGCCCCGGAAAGCGGGTGAACTCCAGCTCCCCAAATCCTGGAAAGAAGGGTGAGCAGGGGGCAGGCCCAGCGCCCCCCAGTGGGGAGAGGGGGCAGGGACACAGCAGTAAGGAGACTGGGAATGCTGCAGGTGGGTGAGGGAAATGTTCGCTATGGATAAACGTCCCGGAGTCCTGGGAACAACAGGGCCTGTATGAGAGACACTTCTCCACGTGCCAGGGGGTCAGTGATGGGGCCGCAGGGGGGTGAGGCTGTGCCAGGTGAGAGCACAGGGGCTGGATCCCTGGCTACAGGCCATAAACTGGTTGCTGGTGGGATCAGGAAGGAATCATCCGTCTGCCTGCCTATCTGTCTATCCCTCTGTCCTGTCCCATACACCTCTCTCCATCCCTCCTGCCTGGCTCTGCTGCATTGTAAGGGGGTTCCCCTTGCATCTGGCATTGAGGAATGGGCTGAGAGTCTCGTCCAGTCTGGCAGGAGGTGGCATGCCGGACATGATGGCCCGACGTGCTGACCCCCCACTGCATTCCCTGGGTCGCCCTCAAACCTGCTGTGTGCGCCCATCACATGGGATTGAGGCCGGGTCTATGGGGAATGGAGGGACATGTGGGTCTGAGCTGAGGGATGACCCCGGGGAGGGGCAAGTGACGGCCAGGGGGAGGGGCTGGTCCAAATACGGGGGTGTCATTTTCTGCCGTGGTCTCTTTCACAGGAACCACCTGAAGAATGGGCTGATAAAAGACAAACGGTTATAATGGAACTGCTGGGCAGCCTCTGGGGACTGACTCGGGGCCCTCCATGAACCCAGCGAAGGAGAGAGCCCCGTGGAGAAGGAGTGCAAGCCCCCCCCCCCAACCCCGCCTGCAGCTGGGGAGCAGCTGGCAGCCGACAGAAACAGTCCACTCCTCTCGGCTTGGCTCTGGCCAGGCTTCACTTGATGCTGACGTGGTTTCTGGAGCCAGTTTGCGCCGGGCACCCTGCAGGCTGCTGGACGGGTCGGCTGAGATGGGGGGGGAGGGGGGTTTCCTAGCAGGGTCCAGGTCAGATATGGAACTTGCTTTCGGTTACCTGGGATCCCCGGTGCCAACCCCACCCCTTCGCCAGCCTCCCCCTCTGTGATTTCCCCAGACCCGGCAAGTTGTGGGATCCCAGGCAGCTTTTGTCTCTGGAGCACGGACTGATGCCGTGGAGCTGGGGAGGGGCTCGAAGCAGGGAGGCAAACACCCCTGCCCCTTTGGCACCAGCGTCCCAAGCGTGGGGGGCCCAGAGCCAGCTCTGCTGTAGCTTGCAAACAGGGAATGGTGACCTACCGCTAGGGAGACGTGTTGTGCTGCTATGAGCCCTGCTGTCCAGTAGGGGTCAGTGTACTACAGGGAGCTGCTGGAAGCGCATCCAGGGGTTACTCCACAGAGCAACCCAGGCCCCTGCCTGGACCCCCCCTGGCCAGAGCCTAGAGGATTCTCCCAGCAGCCTCCTGAGGCTGGTCAGACAGGCCTGCCCTCAGTACTGCTGCTCCTTTCGTCCCTTAGGAGGCCAGTGCCTGGGATCAGAGAGAGAAGGGACAGCTGCTCCCTCTAGGTCTCCTGCCTTGATGAATCCCCTGGCCTGAGAAACCTTCTCTGCCTAAACCAAAGGACTCGCTAAAGTCCCGACTGACTTGGTTTTCCAGGCAGTGCGAGTTCTGAGCTTTGCATTTCCTGCAGGCTGGGCTGGGCTGAGCTGGGTACCTTTCCGCTCAGTGGGGAAGAAACCCTGTGGAATTTTGCACCTATCCCTCCCCCTGGATCTGGACTCATCCCATCGCAATACTACTGCAGTGTCGGCTGACGGCCTGCTCCTCTCTGAGGGCCCTAACTCCAAGCCAGGGGGACAATAGGACACTGAAGGGAATGGCAGCCGGCCGGCAGAGGGTTAATCCAAACGGGCAGGGGGTGAGAGGCTGGTTGTTTTTTCTGGTCCCTTGCTTAGATGCAGACCCCAGATAGTGCTGCATAAGCCACAAAGAGACTCCCTGGAAAACATCAGCGACTGGGAGCTAACATGAAAACGTGAGCCAGGTTGTTAGAAATCCCCCAATTCTGGCTGGGTCCCCCCAGCCAGCCGAACTAGCAAGGACAGGAAATTAAACATCCCACCCACTGGCTGCTTTTGTTCCCTGACTGTCAAACTGGGTTTTGCAGGCAGGCGTGGTCCATTTGGTGACTTGTAGTTTACTGGTGGCTTGTGCGTTGAAGCCAGTTGGCGGCTCTAGTGCCCGGTAGCAGCTGCAGCTGTGCTAGCAGTGAGGAGAGGCAGGGTTGAATACTGACAGGCCCGGGCAGCGTGAGGCCACTGCTGCAGGGTTCTCTGGCAGGTTTCCTAGGGATTAGCGTCTTGCTCTGGACGGATGGGTTGAAGAGTCAGGACAGAGACAGCTGCAGCAGGACCACTTGTGTGCTGTTTAACTGGCCTGACGCCCTTAGGGATCAAAGGGCCAAGCCACCCTGGCCCTGCACCCTGTGTCGTCAGTTACACCTGTGCAAAAGGGGCTGCTGGATCAGAATGCTTCCCTTCTGCTGCCAGCATGCCCACTTCGCCGGGGGTGATTGGCACCCGAGGGACCGGGCAGGGCAAGGCCAGGATGGGGTGTTGAGTCTGAGGCCCCTGGGCTCAGTGGAACGCAGCAAGCGATGGGCTGCCCCCTGCGTTGCAGTTGGAAATGGCAGCTGGCTGGCTTATTTTCCTTTTATAATTTAATTTCCCTGCGCCACTAATTGGCCGCCAATGCACAGGGTGCTGCTTCCCAGGGTGCTCCAGGGCAGGGCTGGCACAGGATGAGCAGGTTTTATTATCTGTACCTGATATGTCTTTCCCACGGCAGGGAACCAGTTGACAAGGTTGGTGTGGAAGTTAACAGCCCATCAGGCTGGATGGCAGGGCTGGGGGAGCGTCAGACATTCAGGAGGTGCCAGTTGGGGGGAGGGGATATGGGACGCTGATCACTGCAGAATTGTGGATTTCAAGGGAGGAAACTTCACACGTCTTCTTCCCCAAGGCACCCAGCCAACACCTGGACAGGCTGGGTGCCTTACAGTTGTGGGAGGAGAATGGCCTCATTCCTGTCTCCAGGGCGGGTTTGATGGTGGGCCATGTGAAGAGGAGCTGGGGTGGGGGCTGATGCTCAGGAAGGGCCAGGCTGGAAGCCCCCGGTGCAGGCTCTGTGGAAGAGTGCCACCCACCTGCCCTAGGCCCAGCTCTGGCCTAGCTAGGGTCTGACCATGGCCCCTGTGAGCACCTGGCCGGCTCGTTCCCGTGCAGCGGGCACAGTCCCCCCATCCCCTCCTGTTCACAGGCAGGGTCCCCCGGGCGTGGGCCGCTCTCTCTCCTCAGCGCAGGGCACGCAAAAGGCCCCGGGACGCTCGGTGGGCTCCAGCCAGCACAAGGCCTGGAGGTGGCTTCACGCTGCAGCCTGAGATGCAAAAACCCTCCCTCACCCCCAGCCTAGGGGCAGCCCCGTCCCACAATCAGCCCCTTTCCCCGGGGTGCCCGGGCAGTTCTGCCCGCTCTAGGGCAGCACAGCCTGTGCATGGACCAGCCGGGCGGGGGTGAAGCCAAGGGAAGGGGGTGCCAGGCAGCCCCCCCCCCCCGGAGTTTAGCAGCAGCTGGGGGCTGTACAAGGCAAAGCCACCTCCCCTCTGACGCCAAAGGGTCAATGGGCGCCCTGGCCTGGGGGCTTGGTCTCACGCCCCTGCCCAATCCAGGGAGGCCTCGCTGCTAATTGCGCCCTCGCCAGATGAAAGGCTCCACTGGCGCAATCAACCCCCGCCTGGTGGCTCCAGATTCCCTCTGGCGAGCCGGGCTCCGGCGCTGCTTTGTCTGCCCGGCCGGGCCATGGGGCCAGCCCCTGCCAGAGCCCGCTTCGCAGCCGGCCTCTTCTGGGCGCTGCTGGGCGCGGCGCTGGGCATGGCGGGGAGCAGGCAGGAGACGTCGCTTTTCAAGTCCTTGGGCCTGAGCGCCAAGCCGACCCCCGCGGCCCCGGCCCCGGTGCCCTCCGTGCTGTGGCGCATCTTCCAGGGCCGGGCGCTGCCTCCCCCCGGGGACCGCGCACCGGACCGCGCCTGCCGGGTGGAGGAATTGAACGTGCCCGGGAACATCATCCGCGTCTTCGCTGACCAAGGTACAGAGACCCCGGGGTTCTGGCCCCTGGGGTCCCTCGGGGTTTGGGGCAGGGGCCCGTCCGGCTTCTCTTCCCGCTTCCCACCCCCCGGCTGTGGGCGCCTGCCCCCGTCTGGCATCCTTTGCATCAGGCCTCGTGTTTGCTGGAGAGAGGCGGTGGGGTCCAGTGGTCGGAGCAAAGGGCTGGGCGCTGGGACCGACTCGCTGGGCAAGCTCAGGCGGGTCCCTGCTCCGTGCCTCAGTTTCCCCAGCCGCGCCCTGGCAAATCGTCTGTCCCGGGTGAGCTGAGTGGGGATGTTGGGGAGACGCGCTGGGATCCTGCAGGACAGGGCTAGGGCTGAGTTGTGACTGTACCTCCAGCCTCGCCCGCGTCCTCCGACATCCTGGGAGGGACTTTTTCTGTGACTGGTGCTTATCCGAGGAAACCACCAGGGCAGACGAGGCTGGGGCTGGGATTTCAGTGCCCCGTAGTGCACTTCCCTGGCGCACAGCCCTGGCCCAGGTTGACACCCACCGCTCAGTTCTGTAATACTATTTCCCATAAGCATCAGCCCGGTGCACATTTTAAAGGCACTGGGGACAGTGGGGCTGGACTTAGGGTCCCTTACCTGGGTGCGATTAACACAGCTGCTGCGTCTCCAGTGGCTTAGCTCAGGTTCGCATTCATGTCTTCCACTTAGGGCAGAGAATGCAGAAAAGATTGAACTCCCCGTGCCCTGGGCACTGGCACACGGACAAGGCCTGGCTCCCACCTCACCCTTCGATCCTTGGACCTTAGCTGGATGGGCAGCAGCTCCCGCTGCTTCAGGCCTGGGCCTCTCCGGGCCATTTCCAGTTGGTTGCTAGACCTTAGCTAGACTCGCCGCTTTAGTGATCTGTTGTTTCCAGTTGAAATCAGGGTCCGAGTCCAAAGGGCCCAGCAGACCGGTCCCGCTCCAGCAGGCCTTGGTAGAGTAGCACTGAAATGAGCAGTACATTCTGCGGCCCCTGCCATGAAGGAGGCGGATATTACCCTCTTAGGCCTGGTCTACACTAGGACTTTAATTCGGATTTAGCTGCCTTAATCCGAATTAACCCTTCACCCGTCCACACTACAGAGCCAGTTAATTCGAATTAAAGGGCCCTTTAAATCGATTTCTGTACTCCACCTCGACGAACGGAGTAGAGCCTAAATCGATTTTGTTAATTCGAATTAGGGTTAGTGTGGACGCACACCACCGAATTACTGTGTTTAAGTTAATGGGGTAGTGTGGCCGCACACCACCGAATTAATGTGGTTAAAAACCGAATTAAGGTGCTTAGTGTGGCCGCGCACAATCGAATTTATACAACCTGTTTCCCAAATTCGAATTATCTAAATTCGGATTAATCCTGTAGTGTAGACATACCCTTACAGAGGGGGAAGCTGAAGCACAGAGAAGTTTAGTGACTCCGAGGATCAAACAGTGAGTGGCAGAGAACCCAGGAGTTCTGACGCCCAGGTCTGTTCTTTAGCCACGAATTCAGACTACCCAGCCCCGAAGCATATGCAGACCTTTGCCTCTGGTGCTGGCTCTGGCTTGTTTCTCTTGTACAGTCTGCCACTTTCTCTTAGCCAAGCAGCCTTCGCCCAGCAGCAGGGACACGGGGCTACGGGGAATCTCTGCTGTGGAGGAGCTTCCAGATGATGCCAGGGTAGTGGGAGCCTCTTGCCCCAGCAGTGACTGGCTAAGAGGGCAGCTCTATCTTTAAAATACTGAACCTTGTCCAGGCCCTGAACAGGGGCCCTGTGTGAGCGCGATGCCTGTATCATTGGGGGGGGGGACAGAGAAGCACACCCCTCCGCTCCCCACCCGCAGCGTGGAGCGGGATGAGAATCTGTCCGACTCGTTCTGTTCCTCAGGACAGCCCTGACTGCACTGGGAGAGTCGCAGAGCGGAGTGGGGCGCAGGCTGAGCCAGGAGTGTAGTTGATGGTCAAGGCGAGTATTGGGGAAATGGAGTTTGCCCGTCTGGGGAATGGGGAGTTCAGGTCAGGCTAGTTTATCCACTTCACTACTGCTCTGAGCATCAGTGTGTGTGTGGGGAGGCCCTTCCTGCTCAAGGAACGAACGCCACCTCCTCTGTTTTCCTTCCCTCTCAGGCCACTTCATTCACAGTGGGGAGCCCAAGACTTTCCTGTGTCTGGAGAAACGTCTGTACTTTAATTTCTCTGTGTTGGAGGAGGGGGAGCAACTGACAATGGCTCAGCTGGAAATCAACTTCAGCCACAACTCCTATCACACTTCCAGTGGCGGGCAGGTCTTTGAGCTGCGGCTGTACCAAGCCCTGCAGATGTCTCTGCGGGGGATGTCCTCCCACACGTACAACCACAAGCTGCTGGTGGCGCAATCCTTCGCGCAGCTGCACAAGTCCCTCCTCTTCAACCTGACCGAAGTGGCGAAGGGCTGGCGAACCCCCAGCAAGAACCTGGGCTTGATCCTGGAGATCTCTGTGAGCAGCAGGGACAGCGCCGAGGCCTTGCCACCCCGAAGGCTGCAGAACCTCTGTGCCAGCATCGACTCCTTCCTCGACACCTCGCTGTTGGTGGTGTCCCTCAATCAGAAGCAGTGCCAGGCCTCCAGGAAGAGGCGAAGCTCCTATTATACCCCGGTCACCCCAAGCAACCTCTGCAAGCCAAGGCGGCTTTACATCAGCTTCAGTGACGTGGGCTGGGAGAACTGGATCATCGCGCCGCAGGGATACATGGCCAACTATTGCCTCGGGGAGTGCCCCTTCCCATTGACGGCAGAACTCAATAGCACCAACCACGCCATCCTCCAAACCATGGTGCACTCCCTTGACCCAGAAGGAACCCCCCAGCCCTGCTGCGTCCCAGTCAGGCTGTCCCCCATCTCCATCCTGTATTACGACAACCATGATAACGTGGTGCTGAGACACTACGAGGACATGGTGGTGGATGAGTGTGGCTGCAGGTAATGGAGCTGCTCATCGAGAGGTGACTAGGGAATCGAATGGGTCTCTGGAGTAACTGGGATTTTTGATGTAATAGGTCAAAACGTATTAAGTCTCCTTCGTGTGGGTGGGTAGGGCCCTCCCTTCCATCCCTTGGTGCAGTTAATGGCAGAACTACCCCTTTGACGCAGTCGCAAAATGCAGCCTCAAGGGGGAAGCTCTTGACTTCTGGCATCAAGAGGATAATGCAGTTTGGGATTCTAATGTAATGCTGATTGGCTGGAGGCATCAGGCTTCCAAACTCCCACCTGCTGGGGTTTCACCCAGCTTTGCTGGGAACCTGGTGAAATCTAATGGTGATAGTCTGAGCCTCCTTTCCCCTCCTCCCCCATTCCCCCTAGTGCTGAGCACAGGATGTTGGCACCAGCTCCTTAGTCCCAACACTCCTGTCCCTGTGCCTCCTTCCTCAGTTCTGACCTGGAGGCACCGGTGTGGTGCAGTACTGTATCCATCCTGTACGGCTGGAGCTGGTGCCCATGACACTGTCCTAGACATTGAAGAATGAGTTCTGCTGGCCCTTCAGTGCCCCGTAGGCCCCGCCCCCTTAGCTTGCCCACGCTCGTAGGAACAGTACCACTGTCCACCACGGCTGGATTCTCAGCTTCTTGAGCTAAGTGGTGTGAGCCTAGCATGGATTTTTTTTTTTCTAGAACAGGAAGACAATTTGGCTAAATTCTGCTCTTTCCACTGACTGAAGAAATGACCAGGTCTTCAGTTTGATTAAGTTCTTTCTCCTCCACTGGGCTGTACTGCAACTAAAATATCACCTCTGCCTGGAGCCTGATACCACATTGCTCTTGAAAGGGCATTATTGGTACCAGCTGTTAGATGTCAGGACAGTGGGGCATGGGGAAGTGAAGTGAATTGACTCAGTGCGAAGAGGTGTTTTCAGACTGAGAGCTCTCACCGGAACATCCTAGCAATGTAAAACACGCCTTTTTGTGGTGAAGATGTAGCCTGGCTTTTGAATAAGGCAAGAAGCCTGGCTTGGGAAATTTGGCCTAAATTTGTTTTTTAAGGGGCCATCAATTTTGGGTGTCCAACTTGATTGAGGGGTGCTGAGCACTCACCAATCCCACTGACTCGGTGCAGGAAAAAAAATTCAAGTGGCCAAACAAATTTAAAGAATCAATGAATTGTCTTTTAAGTATTACGTGTTACCCATTGAGTGTGAATCTAGTCTATGGCTGGCAATCAGGCAGATGGCTGCAGAAAGCAGTAGAAAGATGAATAGACAAAGTCTCCTTTTAAAATAGGTTTTCACCTTGATTAGTGTCAGAGTTCTCTCAGTAATAGGGACAGAAAAATATTCCCCTCCTAATAATTGTCTTTTATAAGATATTAGATAAGCAGCCAATGCCTAAACAACATCCTAGTAAATAAATATGGGGGGGGGGGGGTTGTAAAGCAGTGGCTTGTGCAATTATTTAATGCACTACCCTGTCACCTGTGGAGCAATGAGGACTTGTTTCAGTGAAAGTAGCTTAATAGTCTCATTTTAGCATGATTCCAGTTGACTCCATAAGAGTTTAACACTGTTTGTAGCAGGAACTAGGACTACTTAGTCCTTTACATATTGCACTGTTTAAACAGATTATGTATGTTAAGGCATCAGGGGTATGTCCAATAGACCTGTTGGACCGGCAATGGCATTGTGAAAGGCAGATCAAGTTTGCTGTATTCAAGTCAGTGGGGTGAGGACCCTCTCCCTCTTCAACACCTATGAATGAATTGCTGAAGGTGCCTGTCCTTCAGATGATGGGTATGAGCTGAAAGACAGGAAAAGGGATGACTTCTAAGTACAGAATTTCACAGAGATCCTTCATAGCAGCAATGCTCAGCCTGAATTCCAGAGGAACAGAGGCAGTTGAAGTTTTAATAGGTCTCCACCTACACTACCATAAGCCAGCCCTGTTCTGAAAGTAATCAGTTTATTAGCTAGTGCCAGGGGATAAGTGGCTGAGGGATGGCCTGTTTTCTTCAAAGTGGGATTCATGTTAAAATAAGATTTGGGGTGGGTGGGGGGTGTTTGAAGTCTTAAAGTGGCCATGCTTGAAGCCTGGGCAAAGTTGCCAGCTCATTCCCGTCTTGCCAGTGAGGTGCTGCACTTGTTAGAAGTAAATCAACCACAGCTGCTCAGCTGAAGCTCTGAGTCATGTGACTTGAGTAATCCCTACCAGTGCAACTTTCCTCCCCTTCCAGCTGAAAATCTCCCCCTTGCACTGAAGTGTTTCACTGTGACTGAATTTTAGACAAGTTATCACAACAGAACCCCTCCCATCCCCAGGCACCAAGCACTGAACCACCCCCTCATCTGGTGTAGCTAAAAGAAGAACATAGCAGTTGCTAGCTACAGCTACTTTACAGTCCCAGGGCCCTACACTTTAGATCTGTGCATGGTGGCAACCTCTGTGGGTGGATGTCAAACTGGAGCTCAAAGTAAAGTTTTGCCTTTCAGTGACAAATACGGGACAATTGTTTTAATCGCAGTCTTTTTTTTGGGAGGGGGGAGGAGACAAGAGAAGGAGCAAGGAATCTGAATTAGACTTGAAACTCTTTTTTAAAATGTCAGTCAGATTGAAACTAGTGGAGACTTGTTTTTTTGTATCTACCTTGTAATGTGTCTTAATAGAAAGGTTTCACTAAGTATTAACAGGAAAGACCTTTGTCCCCATGGGGAAACTAAAAGGTTTATCCTCTTATTTTAATTAATTTGCACAGACAATGTACTTCCCTACCCTACCCAATGAATGTGTTGTGCTACTGGATATACCCAAATCTTTGTTGAACAGGAGCAAGTAAGTCTGAATACTTTAAGGCTACCACAATTCCACACAGGTTACCTGCTGTTATGCACTAACATTTTCAGGTACCCTCTGCACCGCCATTTAGGAAGCTGATTCACAGACATGCGCTACTGTGGAGTTCTAAGACAGTTTACCCTCTATTATTCTGTACAGTAAACAAGAACGACATCAAACATTTAATAAAGGAATTAGATGCTAGTCAGATTAGTGACTATGGTTTAGAAGATCAATTACTCAAGTTTATAAAATATTAAACTCAAGGGGCTAGCCCCATCTTAAAAGAAATCAGTCAATTTCTTCTGAAAAAACTAGAAAGTAACAGGGATAGGCTCAAACACCTGATCTGCTAGTGTTTTTCCTTTTTAAATACTTACCCTTACCTCTAATTCCAGGAATTAAACTCCACATTAAAACAAACTTGGATTTCTATAAAAGAAGAGGGATTTTAAGTTTTTGTTATACTGAGTGTTTTGAAAAATGAGTCCACAGCAGATCAAGGAACTCAAAGCTCAGTTCATTTAGGTCACACTTGTGAGGGAGGTTTTTGCTTTCCATCTAAATCTCCACTTGCATTTACCAAAGCACAAAGAGATGAATGACTAATGGGCTCTGTCCTATCCACTGTGCAGTCCAAACAATTAGAGGATTCTCACGCTAGCAGGGAAAGACAGCTATAACCATGTGCAATACTTTGTGGACCAGAATGGACACATGAAATAGCTACTTTAGTGATCACAGCCCCTGTGAAGTGATGTCAGTGCACTAACATGAAACACGCTCACAGCATCAGCAGCCTGCGATACTAAGCTGAGCTTGTGCTTCAGTCAGAAAGCAGTGTGGAAAAGTTTACTGTATTTGTACCTTAAATCGTGCTACTGTCAAATGCTTGACTGCTGTACCAAATGCAGTTGGTGGCGTCAATGGTTTAGATTGATAGACCCAGTCTTAAGTCAGCATGTGTGAGCTGAACTTTATTAAAAAGGATTTATTCAATTACTATGTTGTCTCAGATTTACCACCAGAGCCATGATCAGAGTAACTTGAAAGGGGGCAGATGAAAGCCTTAAAAGGGTCTTGCCATTACTTCCAATGGGTTTTATGCAAGGAAGTCTTTATCCCCAGCCTGGAAGAAGTAAGCTCTTGCCATCAATATTAAAAAAAGATCAAGCTCCTCTAACAGCCTTTCATAAAAAGGGGAACGGACTACTGCCATATAACCTCTATGTAACATCAATGCATGGGCACAGAATGCCTCAGTGGGTTTCTAAACATTCCTACAGCATGCACATGTCTGGACAAGACCCAAAGGAGGGGGTACAGGTGGGGTACTTCGCTTTAACAAACTTCACAGTTCATTTGCTTATCTATGTATGCTAGAAACACCCCACACTTTTGTACTAGTATATGTTAAAATGTAATAAACGTGAAGTTTATACAATCAAACGCTGGGCCAAACTGTCACAAATATTGTTTTTAAAAGGTCCAAAATGATTACTGAAATATAGGCCCCAGCTTGAATGCAAGAGCTCTTTATTAATTTTTTTATTGATGACAAACAGGTTTAAAACATACAGACAAAATCAAAAAAAGACTAACAGTGCTAGCACTGACGTCTGTGGATTTATAAAACTCAGAGTAACTGCTACAAAGGAAAAAAACAGCACAAAGCAGAGGCAAGCATTCCAACCAGTGAAATAAAGGGGTTGGGGGCAGGGGGAGAAGGGGTTACATTACTCAATGGATTGCATTGCACAAAGAGTTACAGCTTAAACCTATCTCAAATCTCTATGCAACTACGCAGCCTACCCAGAAGGAAACAAATTAAAATGTTAATAAATAAAATAGTCCCTCTTACATGAAGGAAGGTGGCCTGTGTCTCCATTCTTTGCACATTGTAGAAGTCTAAACTCTGGAGGCTTTTTATGAAACAAGAATGTTGTGTGTGTTTCAGGAAGGTTTCTAATTTATCTTGCAGTTTATGACCAGTATAAACAAAAAAAGTGAATTCAGAACATCTGTTCTAAATTTCATGTGCACACTACTTACAAAACCTGTGGGTATGCTACACTATACTGGGAGGGGGGGAGACATGGAAAACTACAGCAAATACAAGTTATGAAAGCAGTTTGATAATCTACAGAATAGACAGAGTAATGCAAGTGGGTGTTTCCAAATCACAAGAAGTGGGTTTTGTTATTTAGTCTAAGTACATTCACTGAGAGGGTTGTTTTCTGTTGTTTTTTTTTTTTTTTTTTTCATAAAAAAAAAAAAAAAAAAAAAAAAAAAAAAAAAAGACTAGAAACACTTGGAGCCCTTTGATTATAAAGCTAACTTAATTCATAAACTTTAAAAAAACATCTAGTTTAGTAATTAATTCACACACTACTGATTTTTAGCCAATTAGGAGGTAGAGGTTATTCTAATGTAGAGATCTGATAAAAATGGGTTAGGAATTTAAGTTCTCTGTGCTATTTCTAAAAAGGTTTAGACAAATAAAATGCTCCCAGTGTTCCCACTTGACTTGTCTAAGACACGGATACAACTTAGAAATTGGATGGCTTTTTTTATGTGCTGTTTTCAGTTTGACTTCCAACTACTTCTCAAGCCAGCACTGATGCCACAGCCACGTTCACGACCTGAAACGCAGTCTCCAGGGTTGTTTTTAACTTCAACACCTGAATCATTCAGCTATCTGCATTAAATCACTGAAGAAGCCACACAAAAGCCTACTCCATTGTCTCTAATCATACCCATCTATCAGAGGCCACCTTCCAACAACTGCCTGCTTTTTCCATTTATTTTTTTCCAACCTGCTTCAATATCATTGTAGAGTCTTTACTTCAAAACCAATATAATCCCCAGTTTCCACTACTTCCTCCCAGCATCAGCGGGAGTGAATAAAGCAGGCCTCCTAGCGTCTTTTCCTCCAGGGCCGAAGGGCACAGGAACCCATCCCCTTTTAAGCGCACAGTTCATCTTACAGAAAGGCTTGTTTTCATAGAGTAGAGTCCAGACAGTAGCCAATTAAAGCATACAGAAAACACTTTGAAACCCTCCTCCTGCTTGAGCGTGCAGGCTCCTTTCACTCCTAACTGCTATCCATTGTAGGAAGAAGAGGCTGATTGCTGCAACTTTAAATCACACTGAAAGTTCTCAAGGTTGGTGCTCTAATTTAGATTTTTTGTTTGTTTTAAATTTTTTTGGTAAGCTTCTCAGAACAAGGATCTCCCAGGTCCACTACTAAGAATTCAGAGACACTTCTAAAAATTCAGTGCTCCTTTGAAAGAATCTCTTTAAAACCACCTTGTCACGAAATACCCATTCAGAATGTGGGTGACATGATGACACTAGAATTTCAGAGCCAGTTTTGGACAACAAAACCTGCATCTCAGCGTTGAACAGTCACCATGTTCTGGCTGGTTTTCTGCTCGGCTTACTGTCACTTTTCGGCAGGATCTTTCCTCTTTAGATACTTTGCTTTTAAAACGTCAACAGTTACTACTAAAATATAGTACCTTTTCAAATGAGAACAACTCTGAGATGAGGGTTTTCCTCTCCCCTCCTGCTCTGAACAGTGATGCCCTGCTCGCAAAGAGAAGTACGGAATGAAGTGAAACCTGCTTAAGGCCCTTCTCTCAAGCTTGGTTGACTGGGGGAGCAGGGACTCAGCGGACCACTCATTCTTTCAGGGCGAGTTGCCTTCCCAGTGAGGCGCCAGCCAGTCCTTTGGTGCTCTCTCCCCTCTCCGGTCAGTCTCCTGGTCTCAGTGAGCTAGCAGTGGGCTCTCACGCGCGCTCCTCTCTCTCTCCTCTCCGTTGGTTGGTTTCTCTCTCTTTCTCCTGTTGCTCTCACACAGTGGTGCTTCAGTTTTAGCAGTGGAAAACAGGTATCCATTTTATTTTATTTTTTTTATTACCCAGAATAAAATGCTGACGGAACTAAGCTCCACACAAGCTTAGCTCTTCTTCCTCAACCTAAAGGAAGGAAAGGACAACAAAATTCACATTAATCATTTCCCTATTGCCATGTGGGCTAGAGGTTACTTGGAGTAAAGGAACACAGAACTGAATCCAAGTGCCTTACACTCTAATACTGTGACAGTCCTGTCACTCCACCATGTTGATATGCACGTTCACCCTGGTAAGTAGAGTCCTGCGACAGCGCCACATCAATCTGAGATTTAAACTCATCACCAAGGTAACTGTCCTGAAATGAGAGAGTTTTTCTGTTAAGCTCCCAAAACTTTTGTAGTATTAGGGTCTCAAGAGCGTATGCAGCATTAGATAGCAAATGGGGTTGTGGCTGCCCTATAACAGTGTTTTCCTTCAGACTAACTGTCCCCTTAATCAACCCCTTTGCTGCTGAATTTCTACAGTGATTTACCCAGTGTAGTTGCAAGCATTACTGAAATGCCCAGTATTTGCAATAATTGTTCTGTTAAGATACTAGAATACGTTCCTCTTTAGGAATGGGTCTGATTTCAGGTTAGGGCCTACGGTGAAATGAAATTACCATGTAAAAATGAAGTGCAACATCGATGTACCTGAATGCACGTGCACCACAGAGCTTAATGGATGTACCTCAAGGGGAAATATCCTTGTATTCAGACTGTGAATGTGTGGGGGAAGGGCAATGAAAGCTACTCCCAAATACTACACGATACACACACACACCCTCTTCCACGCGCATGACACCTGGCGAAAAAAAGCCACTTTGTAGCCTAGGCAGTTTATAAATAGGATTATTACACTCTTACCTGTGATAATTCTGGCTGGGAGAGTCCTGGCTGGCTCATCTGTGATGGCTGACTCATGGAGATATAACCCTGAGTCAGTGGACCCTGGGAGAATGGCTGGGACACCACATCTTGGCTCGCTTGACTGTTTGGAAGGTTTGACTGGCTAGTTCCAGGAATCCCAAAACGATTTTTCTGGCGCCCACCACGACCAGTCTTTCCTTTAGGTGTCCCACGTCCTGAAAAAGTTAGTCCCCGCCAAGGGAGTGAAAATAGTTTATATATGTAATGATTTTATATTTTGTTTCTAGTCAAATGTATACTGGTGGCTTAGCAAACTACACAACATTATATTTATTCAGGTAGCAATTATCTATGAATCTAAAGTTTTAGAGACAGTATAAAGTATACTGTTAGACCCTTACGGACAGGAAGTTTTCTTAGAGCCTGGAGGATAATCAGAAGCTTTATATCATGTCCACCAATCCTTACAGCTGAGGAAGGCTAGACAATCTCCTCTGAAACCATCAACACTGCTGCAAGTTTAGCCAGAAGTGTTACCAGAAGCCATTTTAAAACACTCCCTCCACCTGGGCCTCAAAATGCCCCTTCTGTAGTGTCGCTAGGAGGGAGAACCAAAGGTAATTAACATGCTTTTTTGGTCTGTATTTAATGATTACATACCTGCGGCCGGTCCATTAGCCTGCCCAAAATATCCTGGTGGTGGCATTGGTGGCATCACAAGGTTGAAAGGGATAGGAATGTTCATAGCAGTGACGTGGCTGGGTCCAGCACTAATCATTCCAATTTGATCATGTGTTTGGAAGTACATGTTCGATGGGCGTCCTAGAAAAATTTAACAGCTTAGTTAACAGCTCAACGTTATTGTTTCTCTGGATTTTTTGTACTGCCAAAGCATTCCGTAGAGCAACCTACAGATCAGCAACAGTCAAATGGTTAAGTCAGGGTTTAGTTAAGTTACGAAGCAGTTTACACTAAAAGTTAATTTGGGATTTCTGAAATGCCACGTTTGCACGGTGGTCTGTGCCACAATTAAATTTAGAAATCAGAGTTTTCATTGTAAAATTTTGCCCAAAGCAGTTTAGTTTGTACATGGTGAGAAGCTGTTCTTTACTTGGGAGCTTTCAAGAGAAATCTTAGTTCAGTATCAAAAAGTAAAGAACCCACCTGATGACTACATAATTGGAAAGTCAATAAAGGAGTTCAACTCCCACAACTTCCTTACCTTGACTGCTCCGGTC